TTCGTCACCCATGAATGCCGATTTTATTTCCAATCAAGGTGTTTTGTCAATGCTGTTAACTCTAAAAACAATAAGATTGCAAATATGTTCTTGGACGGGTCACGTTTTTTGACAATAATTTTTCAAACTTGGTTCTCAGCAGTGCGCTTCCGAATGACTGGCTCTTAGCACGTGTTGTCCCTGTACTGGAGATCCCATTTTTGCTAACAAACTATCGTTCCATCTTCCTCACATGTAATGTTGCAAACTCATCTTTTTTGGAGGAACACAACAATTTACCTCTTAACATAGTTTCAGAAAGTGGTTTTCCACTCAGCTTTTAACCACGGTCCACGACTTGGTCACGGGTCTCGATAAATCTGGTCAGGTACACATAATATTCCTGGATTTCAGTAAAGCATTTGACAGGGTCCCTCATGAAAAATTAGTATTTAAATTAGAAAATGTTGTCTTTCGATTCCTGTTGTTAAATGGATTAAATCATACCTACAGGGCATAAACACTTTGTTGATATTGGTGGGGAATTTTCAAATGGGTTCCGTGTATCCTCGGGTGTACACCGGGCCAGAGGTCGGCATTTTAGGTCGCCCTCACTCACCCTCACCCTCACAGCCACACTCACCTAGGCCCCTCACTCACCCTCACCCTCACAGCTACACTCACCCTCAGCCCCTCACTCATCCTCACCCTCACAGTCACACTCACCTTCAGCCCTTCACTCACCCTCACTGAACCTCACGGCCCTCACGCACTCACCGCCCTCACGGCCCTCACCGCCCTCACGGCCCTCACGGCCCTCACGCCCCTCACTCACTCATGGCCCTCACGCCACTCACCGCCCTCACGCCACTCACCGCCCTCACGGCCCTCACCGCCCTCACGGCCCTCACCGCCCTCACGGCCCTCACGCACTCATAGCCCTCACGCCACTCACCGCCCTCACGGCCCTCACCGCCCTCACGTCCCTCACGGCCCTCACCGCCCTCACGGCCCTCACGGCCCTCACGGCCCTCACCGCCCTCACGGCCCTCATCGCCCTCACGGCCCTCACGCACTCATAGCCCTCACGCCACTCACCGCCCTCACCGCCCTCACCGCCCTCACGGCCCTCACGCCACTCACCGCCCTCACGCCACTCACCGCCCTCACGCTACTCACCGCCCTCACGCCACTCACCGCCCTCACGCCCCTCACCGCCCTTGCGGCCCTCACACCCCTCACGCCCCTCACGTCAGTCATGGCCCTCACGCCACTCAGGCCAGCTTCAGATGGGGCAATTTCGCCCAAAAACTTTACGTCGCAACACCAGTAACACGGGCCGCCCGCGATCACATGCAGCAACCAATTGCTGCAATTTGCCATCGTCATCATAAAATTTTATTTTTCTTGCACTATTTAGACACAATTACGCGTTATAAACGTGTTTTTATGCATTTAAATCTCGTTAAGAATACAAATGCACCTTTCTGAAACAGTTTATTTCCAAAAAAACGATCGATTTCAAACCAGAACCAAGTCTTTGGGTGTCATCATCACCGTCACCAGGTATCACGTGAAAATTTTGCGTCCCTGATTGGATGCAGCCGCTTCAAACGTATTCGAATTGCTCCGAGTTGCTTGCTTATTTCGAGCCGGACCCGACCTCAGCAATTCGTATCGATCTAGGGAAAGCTAGAGAACAACCCGCCATTAACACCAAAATTGCTGAGAAAGATGCTCGATCTGAAGGGCGCCTCACGTAAGGTCCCTCACGCACTCACCGCCCTCACGCACTCATGGCCCTCACGGCCCTCACCACCCTCACAGCCCTCACCACCCTCACCGCCCTCACAGCCCTCACGGCCCTCACGGCCCTCACGGCCCTCACGGCCCTCACGGCCCTCACCGCCCTCACGGCCCTCACCGCCCTCACCGCCCTCACGGCCCTCACGGCCCTCACCGCCCTCACGGCCCTCACCGCCCTCACCGCCCTCACCGCCCTCACGGCCCTCACCGCCCTCACCGCCTTCACGGCCCTCACGGCCCTCACTCACCCTCACTCACCCTCACACTCATGAATTTTCCTGGTTCAGAAACTCACTCACCCTCACCTCACCTGTGAAGATGAGGGTGAGTGAGGGTGAGTGAGGGCCCTCATGAGTGAGGTTTGCCGAGGTATGCACCGGGCCAGCGTTCTGGGGCCCTTGTTATTTCTAATCATGATATTGTTTCAGTCATCGATGAAAGTGTAAGCATTAGACTTTTTGCGGACGATTGTGTACTCTTCAAATATATAATAAGCTCATCCGACCAGAATGAATTAAACTCTTCACTTTAAAAAACTGCAGATTGGTGTGCCAAATAAAATAAAATTCAGAAACTTTTATTACGGGTTACTGTTGAGACCGGTTATAACGAAGTCTGCGGGAATCAGAAATCACTCCGCTATATCCGCTATTTCGTTATATATAACAGACTTCGGTTAACGAGGTGCAAAAGGAAATGGGAAATCGGGATCCCTTCGCTGTAGCCACTATTTTGTTATAACCGACTTCGTTATATCCGATCTCGACTGTACCAACAAAAAATTTCCACTTGAGTTTATTTACTATGTCTGCAGCTCCCCCGTGCGCAAAGTTTCAGAGTATCTTGGACTGACGATTTCTAAGACTAATACACACATTGATAACACCTGCTCATCCGCATTCCATAAACTTAATTTCCTTAGGCGCCAACTAATGAAAACACAATCTAGTGTTAGACTTTTAGCTCGTAACACGATCGAAATATGCCAGCCTTGTCTGGGATCCCTTCACAAAAAAGAACATTTCAAAGCTGGAAATGGTTCAAAGGTAGGTTCATCTATGGAAGATTTAAGATTAGACTCTCCATTTCACCTTATGAAAAGGAATGGCATAGCTACGCTTGAGCTGCGTAGGAAGCTCTCCAGACTAAAATTTTTATTTCATACGGTACGAAACAAGGTACGGCTTGGCACACATAATCACCTCATTCCGCTAATGACACGACCTACGAGGCACCATAACGAATATTCATTAGCACCAATCTTTGCACGCACTCATCGTTTGAAATCTTCCTTCTTTCCCCGCACCATCTCGACATGGAACTCTTTTCTTTCTAGCGTTTTTGAGGCTGCCGATTTTTGCGATGCCACTGCTAGTTATTTTTCTTAGATTCGCTTACTTTTTCTGTATAAATATCCTGCATCTTAGTATTTTGCACATCACTCTCTTGCATTTATTAATATATGCCTCGAATATGTATATCGATGTGTTTTATTTTTAATTTTAAAAGTTCTTATTTGTATTTTACTCGTTGTTTTTTCCACTCCTGCTTGGGCCAGTCTTGGGCCTGCAGTATGTTCTAAAGAAAAACAGAAAGAAAAACTGCAAATGGTTGGCAAAATAAAGACATTTATTCTTATTAACATTAGAGAGGCGTGCGCCGGTACAGTGAAAAGCTTCCGATGATCCCCTTCTACGCTCCTGACATCTGTCGGTGGCAGACTTAAGTAGGCGAGCCCGTTCAGGACGTCGTGTGCGAATGCGCCTAAAGCAGGATTTTCTTTTTCGAGGCCTTAGATGTCTCATCGTTCCGTAGACCTTCGAGGTCCTTGAGCAAAAACACGTCAGCAACACAAAAGGTACCAAAACGTTCAAGCGATCATTAAGGCGAATAGGATGACAAAGTGAATTAAGAGGAATTAAAGCGAATTAAGAGGAATTGAAGACAAGTATGAGCGATCAATGGGAATCAAGAGGCACTATTAAGTGAATTAAGAGGAATTAAAACGAATTAGGAGGAATTAAACAGAAGAGTAATCAAAGCTAATTAAGAAGGGCAACAAAGATAATTAAGAGGAATTAAAGGAAATTAAGAGGAATTAAATCTAATTAAGTGCATGACTAAGCGAATTAAGTGCATGACTAAGCGAATTAAGTGCATGACTAAGCGAATTAAAGGGACTGTGCAATGATTTTAACATTGAAAGAATTGGCATCTACTTTTGACATTGTTCACCTTCTCACAAAGGACAGAAAACACACCTTCCTTCGAAATGATGATTTTTCGCCGGTTAATCGCCAGGCAAAAATGAGAATATTCCCCGACCTGCAGACGCGAGTGGCGGCCATGAGAACTACGCGGCGTGACGTCAATGGGGGACTTGTAAAACAATAAGAAGTTGTGCAAATACCTGCTCGATAAAACGTAATTTGTCTTTAAATCTTGTCGTTCCAACATAAATAGAAACACGTCAAAAACCTGCTATCATCGACAAAACTTTTGTCATACGGAGTTTTAGTGGCGCCATCTATCCTAGGTCCACAAAACCGTCAGCTCTCTCTGCTACTGCGAACAGCCACCAGAAGCCGGAGGAGGACGGAGGCAGAGCCGGACGGGTATGGCCGGACCCGGATGAGACTTTCCCCCTTTCACCATATTGTTCGCGCGGCGCCCGCCACACGTGGCCACGCGGTCGCAAGCGGATGAGTTCTCGCTGCTCACTAACGGCTCTAGAGTGAAAGGTTTATTGGAACCCCGCTTACCCCCTTTGACATCATAGCGCACGTGACTCGGAAGATGGTGAACGAGTCGAGAGGTGCCGAAAACCTCAATCTTTGTTCATTTTTAATATACAAACTAGGACATGCAGGCAAAAGCGCTTTTTTTGTTCTTTACTTTAAGAAAAGTTGACAGACCACCTCCGTAATTATTTAATAAAGCACCGAAATAGTTGCACAGCTCCTTTAAGGTGTGCGATACTGCGTTGCAACGAACTTGGGTGGCCTTGAAGGAAGGTTCCTTTTCATCCCTCCTCGAGGTCACTTCCCTTATTACACTCCTGCCACCGCGACTTCTGCGGAAGCCTGGAAAACATGTTTTTTCCACCCTTCTTTTCCCCCTCAAGCTGAGCAGGACGACAGTCGAGTATATGTGCATGCCTTCCTCTGCAGTCCGGTCAAATGGAGCGGGAAAAGACCCGAGAAAGCGGGGCTCACCGGAGCTCCTCCACCTCCTTGAGGTAGCCCTGGATGAGGACCTTCACGTCCCCGGCGTCCGAACCGTCCCGTCCGATCCAGGCCGCGGCCTCATGCTCCGCCAGCAGCTCCGTGTTCTTCACCGTCAGCCGCTCCACGGTCTCCTGGAGCGCCTTGATCCGCGTGCGGAAGTTGCCGTTCTCCGTCTGCAGCATCGTGTTCTCGTAGAACATGTCGTTGACCTGCTCCACACCGTCCTCTCCCACCAGCCGCTTGCCCTGCCAGCCACAAAGGTAAAATTTGCTACAAAAAGCCTGCAATGCGACCGTGCTCAATGGTCCCAATATTTTATGGGCACTCCATTCGTGTTAAAAAGCCGTATGCACCGACGGCTTTGGCTGCGTGCTCTGCGGTCCAGCTCTCGGCTGGACCACAGAGCTAGATTACTTTCACGGCATCAAAAATGTGGTTCGTAACCCTCCTGCTGGTGAAGATAGACCTCCTATGGGGAACACCCTTAGGAAGTCTCTTTACCCAAGGCTTGACCCACGTGAACCAACGTTGCCTCATCGTTCGGCTCAATTCAGCGCTTTTTATCCTCCTAGACCAAGGACAAAATTTCCTAATCTTTGCTCCACGCTCAGTTGAGAAAAAGTCTAGCGTAGGTCAACGCAGGACTTTGGGAAAAAACAAACTCCTCGCTAATACAGGCTTCATCCTGCTAACAAAGACTAGGGAGCACGGAATGACCACACTCCGTGTGTCCTTTGTACTGCATTTATCATTATTTTATTAATTTTTTCTTCCAACTTTTTTTTTATTTTTATTTTGTTCAATTAATTGAATTTGTTATATTTCTTCATTTTTATTTACAGCATATTCCGGACTACAAGTTTCACCTTAATATAGATTGCACTTATGTATATTGAGCCAATTTCGCGGAAAAGTTGATATATAAATCCCACCTCTTTGCACAATTCCCGCAAAGAGTTTTTTTTTTTTTTTTTTTTTTGTTTTACGCGCATTGGTATTGCGAATTCAGAGTTCTCACAATCAGCTAGATTACATATACCATTTGACGCGCAACTTTGACGTTTTGACCCACGAGAAATGCCCATAACACGTCGGGTAAAATGGAAAGATTTGCGGCAAAAGGACATCAATTGTACAAACAAAGATTTAAACCACTAGGTCCAAACCAGGCCAAGTCACGGAGACACAAACATCAAAGCCCAGGCAGATAGATACATCTCAACACACTTGTTTGGGTGCCGCTGAAAATTGAGCTAGCCACAATCCTTCCTTGTACACGTAGCAACACGGCTGGAGCATGGCAAATAAAAACTGCTCATTAAGGGAAGCCTAGAAAGACGTGAGAGAATTTTCTGCAGTGCGTGTATATAAGCCCCCTTACCTTTCAGTATTACTGGACCAAGGCAAAAGAATACAGAACCATGGCTGAATTAGGCAACGTCCATCACACGCTGTAAAAGTCTCACCCATCCACACTGAGCTGCTTCGGGGAAACCGCAGAATTTTACGCTTTTTGAGTCAGTAATGAAAAGTGCAGAAGAGTTTGGCAACAGCAGTGCCTCCTCGAAGGGGCAACACCACCTATGGCTACATAGTTACGGTGCTTTACAAAAAATGGAGAGTGGCACATAAAAAAGTGAAAGCCGTTTACAACTCCCTGTAACACCGAATTAGACCGCAGCTCTTGAGGAGGAGGAGGGAAGGGTAATGGGGGGTGAAGTGACCTGGGGGGGTCACGTGACGTTGGGGGGTCACGTGACGATGCCGATGATGTCATCAGTGACGTCACTGATGACGTCATCAGTGACGATGACGATGCGGACTCCGATGACGTCATCAGCGATGATGACGATGACGATGCGGATGTCGGTGACGTCACTGATGACGTCATCTGTGATAAAAAAAAAGTGAAACCGTTTACAACTCCCTGTAACACCGAATTAGAGCGCAGCTCTTGAGGAGGAGGGAAGGGTACTGGGGGGGGGGGTGAAGTGACCTGGGGGGGTCACGTGACCTTGGGGGGTCGCGTGACGATGCCGATGATGTCATCAGTGACGTCACTGATGACGTCATCAGTGACGATGACGATGCGGACTCCGATGACGTCATCAGCGATGATGACGATGACGATGCGGATGTCGGTGACGTTATCAGTGACGGCACTGATGACGTCATCTGTGATGATGACGATGACAATGCGGATGCCCCCGAAGTCACGTGACACCCCCATGTCACGTGACTACCCCCAGGGTCACGTGACCTGGGGGTGCCACGTGACTTCGGGGGGCGGGTCACGTGACCTCGGGGGGTCACGTGACTTCAGGGGGTCACGTGACTTTGAGTGTCACGTGACCTTGGGGGTCACGTGACGTTGGGATAACCTTGGGGGGCCACGTGACCTTGGGATGACCTTGGTTACGCCGATGCCGACGCCGACGGCGACGCCGACGCCGCTCAAGCCGGGAACAGGCCCCTAAGCGGTGCGCTCTAAAAAAAAGTGAAAGCTGCTTACAACTCCCTGTAACGCCGAATTAGAGCGCAGCTCTTGAGGAGGAGGAGGGAAGGGCACGGGGGGGGCTAAACTAACCAAGGGGGGGTCACGTGACCTTGGGGGTCACGTGACCCCCAATGCCGATGATATCATCACTGAGGTCACTGATGACGTCATCATTGACGATCACGATGCGGGTACCGATGACGTCATTAGTGACGTCACTGATGACTTCTCCAGTGATGATGACGATGACGATGCGAATGTCGGTGACGTCATCAGTGACGTCCTGATGACGTCATCAGTGATGATGACGATGACGATGCGGGTGTCGGTAACGTCATCAGTGATGATGACGATGATGATGCGGATGCCGGTGACGTCATCAGTGATGATGACGATGACGATGCGGATGCCGGTGACGTCATCAGTGACGATGACGATGACGATGTGGATGCCGGTGACGACATCAGTGACGTCACTGATAACGTCATCAGTGATGATGACGATGACGATGCGGATGTCGGTAACGTCATCAGTGATGATGACGATGACGATGCGGATGCCGGTGACGTCATCAGTGATGATGACGATGACGATGTGGATGCCGGGGACGTCATCAGTGATGATGACGATGACGATGTGGATGCCGGTGACGTCATCAGTGACGATGACGTCATTGGGGGTCACGCGACATCGGCGGGGGTCACGTGACCTCAGGGGAGACGTGACTTCGGGGAGTCACGTGACTTCGGGGGGTCACATGACCTCGGGGGGTCACGTGACCTCGGGGGGTCACGTGACCTCGGGGGGTCACGTGCCCCCCTCGAGGTCACGTGACCCCGGTGGGGGCTCGCGCGGTGCATTATGGGACATTTCCCATGATGCACCGAGGTCACGTGACCTCGGGGGGGGGTCACGTGCCCCCCCACGAGGTCACGTGACCCCGGTGGGGGGCTCGCGCGGTGCATTATGGGACATTTCCCATGATGCACCGCGCGGTTACGCCGACGGCGACGCCAACGGCGACGGCGACGCCGACGGCGACGCCGACGCCGCTCAAGCCGGAAACGGGCCCCTAAGAGCTGCGCTCTAAAATTGTGTCACACTGTGAAAAAAAAAAAAAACTGAAACCCGTTTACAACCCCCTGTAACACCGAATTAGAGCGCAGCTCTTGAGGAGGAGGAGGGAAGGGTACGGGGGTGAAGTGACCTGGGGGGGTCACGTGACCTTGGGGGGTCACGTGACGATGCCGATGATGTCATCAGTGACGTCACTGATGACGTCATCCGTGATGATGACGATGGCGATGCGGATGCCAGTGACGTCATCAGTAACGTCACTGATGACGTCATCAGTGATGATGACGATGACGATGCGGATAACGGTGACGTCATCAGTGACGCGTCTTCTTCTGGAACGCCGTGGCTGCAGTTGGCAAGAGTGAGCAATCTTTCTAAAAAAAGCCTCAGCAATCTTTGAAAAAAAGCCAACGGGCAAGTAAAGATTTCTTGGAAGGTACACAGACATTTGTAAAGCATCCCGAGCTCAGTGTTCGTGGTGCCGCCCACGTCACGAAGCAACGCTGCCTCAACCCGCGTCGACGGCACGCCGTGCACGGATGCACGCATGTGCGCACCTAACAAGGAAGTTGCACAAGAGCCTGCTCCTTGCGATTGACAAGGCACCCGACTCGGCACGACGCCATGTAATTGATAACGTAATTTCAGGCTAACCCGCAACCCCAGCGCCACTGATGACGTCATCAGTGACGATGAGGATGCGGACTCCGATGACGTCGTCAGCGATGATGACGATGACGATGCGGATGTCGATGACGTCATCAGTGGCGTCACTGATGACGTAATCCGCGATGATGACGATGACGATGCGGATGCCGGTGACGTCATCAGTGACGTAACTGATGACGTCATCAGTGATGATGACGATGACGATGTGGATGCCGGTGACGTCACCAGTTACGATGACATCATCGGGGAGGTCACGTGACCTCGCCGAGGGGGTCACGTGACCCTGGGGGTGGTCACATGACCTCGGGGGGTCACGTGACCTCGGGGGGTCACGTGACCTTGGGGGTCACGTGACCTTGGGGGCCACGTGACCTTGGGATGACCTTGGGGTGTCGCGTGTCCTTGAGGTGACCTTGGTTAGGCCGACGCCGCTCAAGCCGGGAACGGGCCCCTAAGAGCTGCGCTCTAAAAACAAAGCATCCTAAGCCTTTGCCAGCACCTCTGAGCCAAAATAAAACCAGTGACCCCTGAAGATCAGCTGTGCCCCTAGCTGAGTGGCTATAGTGTCCGACTGCCACTGCAGATACAGGTTTCAGCCCCACCAGGGCCCGTTTTCTCGAACGCGAACCGTGGTTTAAAGTTAACTATTGTCCCTAGAAGGGGGAATTCCAGATCACGTTACTGGGAGAGCAGGGGCGCCGAGAGAGGAGCAGTACCTAGAAGCAAAATGGCCGCGGCGTCTCTTAATGAGGGCTAATAGTTCTGCTTGGTTCTGCTGAACATTCGTTTCGATCTGGCTGTTATATTAATGAGTCGCCATCAACCTATTAGCACGTCAAGAAAAGCGATAGTTCAGAGGGACTACTAAACTAACCCACTTCAGCATTCCGCGAACGCATCACTCTTCAGCAGCCCGGGACCCAAGACCTATGACGGTACATAAGCCTCGAAAGTGTTTTTATGGTGAGTAAAAAAAATGTTTTGCGAACGAGTGTTGGTACA